GAGTGAGACTCTGTCAAAAAAAACAGAGTTTTTTTCAGTTTAAAACACCCTTTTCCATCAGGCACAGTGCCTCATGCCTGTAATCCCAGCACTTTGGGAGGCTGAGGTGGGAGGATCCCTTGAGTCCAGGAGTTGGAGAACAACCTGGGCACAAAAATAACAAAAAAAAAAAAGGAAAAAAAGAAAAGAAAAGAGAACAACCTGGGAAACATAGAGAGACCCCTGTCTCTACAAAAAATTAGCCAGGGGGAGTGATGCACGCCTGTGGTCCCAGCTACTCAGGAGGCTGAGGTGGGAAGGATTGCTAGAGCCTGGGAAGTTGAGGCTGCAGTGAGCCATGTTCCAGTCACTGCACTTAGCCTGGGCAACAGAATGAGACCCTGTCTCAAAAATAAATGAATAAATAAAACACCCTTTTCATTCACAGTTATGTAAACAGGCTTGAAGTGGTGAAATAGCCTGATTTACATTGTGTGGCAAATTCACAAAGAAACCCATGAGAGGAGAATCCAGGAGTGCTAAGTCTCAGTCTAGGTTTTGGTTCTCACTAAATCAAGATTCTTCCCTATACCAGTAAGGGCCCTAACCCTACTACAAATTTAATGCAATTCACAGAATTTTAGTGAACCAATTTCTCATCAGGGAGACCTGCCTAAAGTTGTACTGAAGAATGGTGGCTGGTGGCTTCAGAGTGGGCGGAAGTGGTCGAGGAGGCAGGCTAGGCAGGATCTTCTCTGACAAGCCTGTACCTGATGACACCTGGTCCTAGCAATTAAAGGATAAAGAAATGGAATTTGGGTGGCGTGAAACAAAAGTCATCGCTCTCAGACTGCCCCTTGCTGGAGAAGGAAGCTCCTTTCCTGACAATTCCCCCTCTGCAAGTCCCTCCGTAGTCAGACATCCTCCAGGAGAGCTGTTTCAGAACAACCTTCTTACAAGGCCCTTTGGTCGTCTGTGAAATTACAACAGGTTGCAGGCTCAAAAACAAGTGCCCACAGTGAAGTGGAGGCAGGTATAAAAATAAACTGAAGGCTTGCTTTAAAGCCATTTAGGAATGAACAGAATTTACAAATACAGAAACACATGGGAAGATGTTTGTGTCAAATTCCCACACCAACAGCTTTCCTTTAGTGGAAGTTCTTGGTAGCTGAGTGGGTGCAAGTGTGGAGAAAGAAGGAGGAAGAAATTAGAGGGGGTTAATGTGGTGTCTTGGTGTTGTTTCATTCTGTTTCAATTCAGAGAGAAAGAGTTGTTACATCTCTAAAAAGAATTAAATTAAGATGGCCACTATGTAAAAGTGTTTGCAGACATGGGCTTGAATGTAATATGAAAAAATTGCTGGGCTTGGTGGGGTGCACTCCAGAGGCTGAGGCAGGAAGATAACTTGAGCCCAGGAGTTCAAGAGCAGCCTGGGTAACATAGCGTGACACCACCTCAAAAACAAAAAACAAAGTAATATGCAAAAATAAAAATAACTGTGTTGGGGAGGTAAGATTATGGATGAATTCCTCCCAATCCCTTAATACTGTTCAACTAACAGTATTTTCTTTTTTTGTAGAGCTGAGTTCTCACTATGTTGCCCAGGCTGGTCTCAAACTCTTGGGCTCATGTGCTCCTCCTGTCTCAGCCTCCCAAAGTGCTGGGATTACAGGTGTGAGCCACCTCACGTAGCCAGTATTTTTATATAAATGTTTTCGAATTTTGCTTCCTGGCTGTGTAGTTAAACTTGGTCTTATAAAATCACCATTTTATTGCAATTCCCCAAAACTCTTGTTTGTTGTCCATCACAGCAGTTTTTAGGACAGCAAAACACAGGAAACCATCTAAACGTTTTAGAGGACAGATTATTTAAATGGACTGTGGTCCAGTCATAGCAATGAAAACTACACAGCTATTTAAAAAAGAAGACACAGATCTGAATGGTGGATACGAAATAATCACCCAGAGAAAGTGAAGAAAGGCATGTGGGGGCCGATGGGTCTAGTTTGAGACCATACAAACATGCAAACATGCGCCGATTTGTGACATTTTCTGGTATTCCCAAGAACGTTAGTAATAGTTACTTCAATCTGGTGAAGGCAAGTAGGGTCTGAGGTGAATGGCAGATTTGCTTTTCACGATATGAACTCCTATACTGCTTTGAAAACAGTATGTTTACATATTACAAATTCTAAATGATATATTGGTATCACTTTGATAACTGTTAACTTTCTAGGCAATGCTCTAAGGGTTTTCTTCCTAAGTGGTTTGAAGGTAAAGGGAAAGTCCTATTCTTTCCAAAAGTCCTATTCTTGCCCCATACTTAGAAAACAGACAATCTGATTATGCCTACAGTTGTCAAAATGTGGAGGCAATGTGCGAAAAAACTAAATATGCTCATGTTTCAGAGGGAGATCTACCGAGATATATTGAGATACACAGACTAAGTGCAGCTGAAGAACTGGGTCAGCCTCCCACAGGCCCTCCCAAATAAGCAGCAAGGGATGAGCTGTTCACTCTTCCTCCTTGGAGGGCCCAGGGGTGCTTTGCACCTCAAAAGATACATATCACTCCAGATCCACAGAGCCACCCCAAAGCCTGGGTATCATGTTATCTCCAAAGATTCTGCACAGGGTTTGCCCCAAGCCATTCCCAGGTCTCTCTGAGCCCAGATGAGTATTCTAGAGCTTTCTGGAACCAAAACAGTGTGCTTGGCTAGAGAGGGTTGACTTGAACAAGCAGGTCACTTAAACACATTCTAGCCTCAATGTATGGGGCCCTCTGCCAGATGACAGAGGAACCCAGGAATGCACTTGGACGTTCTGACCACTTTTTCACAGGACACGTCACCTTTGCTTTCAGAACTTCTCTTTGCTTTCACAAATTTCAAGTTCCAGTGACAGGATGTTTCACTCTAAGTTCATGAGAAAGGATGGCAAAATCTTTCCGCCATTCCCTCCTAGGCATCTCAGCCTGAAGGATGTTCAGAGTTACTTAGACCAAGGAATCCAAGACGGTGGGCAAGGCATTGCCTCTCATGGAAGACTTCACGCCCAGGATGAGGAGGCATAGCATTTAGTCTAGGCCCCCCGAAGGGGAAAAATACTGGCTCTGAGATACTCTGGAGCTGAATAATGGCAGATTTAGACAATAAAGAATAGGAGAGGGAGGCCAAGCATGGTGCCTCACACCTGTAATCCCAGCACTTTGGGAGGCAGAGGTGGGCAGATCATGAGATCAGGAGTTCGAGACCAGCCTGGCCAAGATGGTGAAACCCCGTCTCTACTAAAAATACAGCAAAAAATTAGCCGGGTGTGGTAGCAGGTGCCTGTAGTCCCAGCTGCTCAGGAGGCTGAGGCAGAAGAATCTCCAGAACCCAGGAGGCAGAGGTTGCAGTGAGCCGAGATCACACCACTGCACTCCAGCCTGGACGACAGAGTGAGACTCCGTCTAAAAAAAAATATATATATATATATATATGCTGGGCACGATGGCTCACATCTGTAATCCCAGCACTTTGGGAGGCTGAGGTGGTTGGATCACAAGGACAAGAGATCACGACCATCCCGGCCAACATGGTGAAACCCCGTCTCTACTTTAAAAAACACAAAAAATTAGCTGGGCATAGGGGCACGTGCCTGTAGTCCAAGCTGCTCGGGAAGCTGAGGCAGGGGAACTGTTTGAGGATGCAGTGAGCCAGGACTGTGCCACTGCACTCCAGCCTGGCAACAGGGACTCCATCTCAAAAACACAATTAAAAAATAAAATAAAATAAAATAAAAAATAAAAGAATAGAAGAGGGAATGGGCCTCAATGGGAAGATGGCAGGAGGGACCACAGAGTGCTGGTCTTCAGTGAAGATGCCACACAGCAGACACACAAGGGTCGGGTCACAGGGCACAGTGTGGGATGGCCTGACATAGCCAGCCCATTCCTTCCCCAAACAAGCTGCCCCAAGGAACTTAAAAGGGAAGTATTCCTTGATTAGGTTAAAAATCACTTGTGTTTAACACATTTCCTCATCATTTCTGACACAGATGAAGAATACCTGTTTGGGATGTTCCGTGTCACTGACACACATACTAAGCCAGCTAGCTCTGGTCTATTTAGGGTTTTTACTCATCAGCTAGGCTGTGTGTGCGTGTGTGTGCATGCCTTTGCCCCTTACTCTCCCTGATTTCTGCTCCATTTCATAGCCTACTAGAACCTCCCCAGTGGCACAGGACAAGAAAAAAAAGCCCACTTATAATCCATTCTGGTACATGCTGCTTTTACTTCTAAACCAGTGGCTAAAATGGTATCTGTCAATTTGATTAGCTATGCTTAGCCCCATGACCACAAATAAACCCAAACTGGCTAGACTTCTAAGAAGTAAATTTCTTCTCTGCCTTCTCTCTGCTTGTTAAGTGATCTCAATAGCTTGTAACCAGAAGGCCTCTTTACTGAATGATCTAGAGGGTGACACGTATGAACTCAAGTTGGGGAGAAGTCCCAGCCTCCTGCCTACCATATCTAACTCTGTCCCCACAACGGATGCACTGAACTTTCCTTAAATACAAATAGTTCTATTGCCACTGTGGCGCTTTCTCACAGGGTTAGGTTTTATTTTACTTATTTTTTAACATTTCATTATCTCATTAATCTTTTCTCCAGATTTTCCACAATGCACTCAAAGTCTGAAACTCCAAATTGGACTGCAGAGTCTGGCACAGGCTCTTATAAAGCCCAGTGTAGGATCCCCTCGCTCCCAGTTTCCACAGGGTCTCCTTTCCTCGGTAGATCCCAGCACTCCAGCTGCTGGCCACGCACAGGCTATACCTGCCAGCCAGCAGCCAGCTGCTGACTCATGCTTGCTCTGGGATTTGCTTGGACCCCAGCACTTCTGCTCTCCAGCCACAACAGCCACCACCCACCTCAAAGAACACTCTATCCATCACCTCCTGGGGTCTCAGCTCTGACCTGATCAGTCCCCCACAGGTCTGCCTTGCTTTACCTGGCCCTGCCCCATCCCTCATGCCCACCTGGAAGACGTCGTTGGCACACTTGCGGCACAGGTTGTGTTGGCAGGGCAGGATCACCACCGGTTTGGAGAACATCTCCAGGCAGATGGGGCAGATGAGCTGCTTCTCCAGGTTATCCATGCTGTGTGCATCCCCTAGCAGCGGCTTGAAACCCACTGTGAAGTTCATCCCCTCGGTGGTCGCACCTGCCCCGGCCTGGGCCCTGTTCCTGGCCTTCACTCACTGTCTGTAGACCCTTCCTCGCTTAGACAGCCTGTGGATTCCCTTCTGTGGCTCACTCTTGAAATAGCACTCCTATCTCTCCTGTCCCTTTCTTTAACAACTTGTCTTGTCCCAGAGAGCAGTCTTCGGACACTTTCCTTTCTCTACTTTCTGCTCTGCACCCTCGCCAGGCTCACGTAGTTTTATCTATCCCTTTCTCTGTAAAATTCTCGTTTCCTAAATGACCCTCTCTTGTTCACTCTGTGGGTAGCACTGTTTGTCCCTTACTCCCCAGAGAGGAGATTAATTTTACTGTGGGGGTGGGGAGACAAGGGGCATCTGCATGACATTCCAATTCCCAATATAGCTCATGTAAGGCGAGCCACAGCTGTCACAGAGTGAATGACCCTGACTCACTCAGGAATGGGTGACTCCCTTGAGCAAGAGCAGGGGCGAGCACCACTGCTTACGGTGAAAGGTGGGTCGGCAAAGGGCCTGCCCTCTCACTCTGAAGGCTCCTCTGAGCCCGGGACCCCTGCTCTGGCTTGGGCCTTCCTTCCAGGACACAGAATCTAAATCGGCCTGTGTGAGAGGCACCCATACATAGCTCAGGGTGGGAGGAAAGATCCTGCCAGACTTAGAGTCAGTAACAGTTTCCTCCTCCACAGGCTCAGCCAGTGACCCAGGTCCTCCTCCTCAAGACTGTGTGATTCAGAACAGCAGCTCCAGGGACGACATCAAGTCTCTTGTCCAACACCTCGGGCTCATTTTTGTTCTTGCCCAGCCTTTTCTTATATCACCCTAGGAAAAGAAGCTCAAGAGGCTAGAAATGACTGTTGTGCCACAGCCTGGACCTACCTATGAGCATGCCCCCGAGGAAATGTGGGATTCTGGTCCACGAACACATCCCTGGAGCCACTCCAAGAACTTCAAATTTGTTAGGAAATTGGGAGAAGGTGAGCTGGGCAGAGAGGACCTGAATGCCAGGGACCTATTTTGGGCACCCAGGGAATCAATCTCCAGGGAAATTTTAGAGCACTGACAAAGTCATAATCACAAGTCTCGGGGAGCCTCTGCCCCAGCCCCACAGTTGTTCGGGACTCCGACCCTCCAAGCCAGGCTTGCCCCAGTTCTGAGCACTGACTTTTTCTCCTACATGTCTTTTTCTCCACTTGATCTTAGCCAAAGGGCCAAGAAGCAATTTCTTTAGGCCCTTTTTCTTCACCCCAGACACACACAGTTTGTCTTTTTTGGGCCCAACATATGCCTTGGGATTGGACAAAAGCTCTTTTATTTACTGACATTCTTTAGCCCTTCTCCCAGTCCAGGGAGAGAAGTTTCAGGAGTTAGTAGGTGGGAAATACATGGTGTGAAGAGGACACGAAATAGCAGCACAAAGAGGCAAGAGTGGGAAAAGAGTCCATAAAGTACAGACTTTTCTGGATCACAGATTCCATGCCCCTATTTTTAAGAACAAATTATATGTCAATCAGCCTGCATAAGATGTAAAAAGGATGGAGGCAAGCAGGCACTGATGTTTAAACTTCAGTCAACCCACAGGACCAATGCTAATGCATGCTGTGCTGGCAGTTGAAGTCCAAGGAGAATCTAAAGATGGAATGACTATCCCTGAGCCTCAAATGCACTTGCTGTTTTCCTGAGTTGACTCACAGTGGCATGGAATGAGGCTGGCGATGCCAATGGCCGTGGGCACCAGAAGGTGAGACCAGCTCCATAAAGGCATATTGGCTCAGGAATGAGGATGATGCTAGGGGTTCTTGGTGCACAGAGTTGCAACAAGGGAGAGTTAACTGGTGCAGCAGCTCCCGGAACAGGATCCACCCTGCTCAGTTACCAGGCTCTTAGTGGAGCTATCCCAAGAGGCTTGGGGACCCTACCAGCTGGCAGTGGCTCCAACAACAAGACAGGCACAGGAAAAAGACTCTTCAGGAAAAATCTGCCACCACCGCCTGGGACCTCATAAGGGAAGGGAGGGGAGGGCTGCTTTCTGATGAATAAAATTGGGACTGCAACTAAAAAGAAGAAGTTGGGTAACTCCATACAGAGTTGTGGTGCCAAGGGCAGAGGTGATGTCCTTACTGGGACCAACGTCATCAATACTTCGAAGTTGAGATTCTTAAAAGAAGAGGGGTCAAATCAGGGTCAATGTCAGGGCAAGGCAACTTGCTCCTCTCTTCAACGTGTCTAGGGGACTGCGCAGCAGAAGGCACTCTCACTGGATCAGCACCTAGTGGTGGAAGAAGGTGGTGCTTTATTAATCAGGAGAAATAATTACCTAGAATTTAAGGCAAATCCCCACGTGTAAGGATATAAACACTCATAGTCCAAACTATAAGGATGTAAACTTTCTACTAATGATTCACCTGAAGTTAGCTTACAAGCTTTTCTTTTTCTTTTTTTTTTTTTTTTTGAGACAGAGTCTTGCTCTGTTATCAGACTGGAATGCAGTGGCATGATCTCCACTCACTGCAACTTCCAACTCCCTTGTTCAAGCAATCCTGCCTCAGCCTCCCGAGTAGCTGGGATTACAGGCACACACTACCACGCCCAGATAATTTTTGTATTTTCAGTAGAGACGGGTTTCACCATGTTGGCCAGGATGGTCTCGATTTCCTGACCTTGTGATCTGACCGCCTTGGCCTCCCAAAGTGCTGGGATTATAGGCGTGAGCCACTGCACCCAGCCTATATGCTTTTCTTATCTGGTAACTATTGCTGCTTTTCAGTTTACGTACCTCATCCTTTTTCATCTCTTAAAAATCATCTTCGCTATTTTCCTCTCTTTTAAAATCAGGTTTGGCTCCTATGATGGAATTATACATATGTTTACATACATAAACATTTAGTAACTTTTTGTAGTCTACTGATGAGAAAACCATTACCTTGTAGTTACTCATTAGCATCACCAGATGGCACTAGTGTGAAGTTCAATCAGCTTATAACAGTTTATTTGGGGTGGGAATGCTCCTTTCTGTTTTCTTTTTTTTTTTTTTTTTTTTGATATAGGGTCTTGCTCTGTCACCCAGGCTGGAGTACAGTGGCATGATCGCAGCTCACTGTAACCTCCACCTCCCAGACTCAAGTGATCCCCCCACCTCAGCCTCCCCAGTAACTGAGACTACAGGTGCACACCACCATGCCTGGCTAACTTCTGTATGTTTTTTGTAGAGACTGGGTTTCACCATGTTACCGAGGCTGGTCTCAAACTCCTGAGCTCAAGTGATCCGCCCACCTTGGCTTCCCAAAGTGCTGGGATTACAGTCACAAGCCACCGCAACTTGCCCTTTCCTTTGAGTAGATGGAAAAAATTGCATCCTGCTGGGCACAGTGGCTCACACCTGTAATCCCAGCGCTTTGGGAGGCCAAAGTAGGTGGATCATCTGAGTAGACTGCTTGAACCTGGGAGGTGGAGGTTGCCATGAGCTGAGGTCACACCTCTGCACTCCAGCCTGGACAACAGACTGAGATTCCGTCTCAACAGCAACAAATTGCATGCTGAAATATGTTTCACCTGCTGTATTTTCTAGACATACTCTCCCACCCCATTCCTTAGCTTAACAGGAGATGATAACACTACATTCAAACTGTCAGTTTGTCGTGTAAGGTGCACAAACACATATTGATCTTTTTTTCTTCACTTTGTCCCAGTGCCAGACTTGAAATTGTCATATTTAGGGGTTAACCTGCCATTTTCGTAGGTCTTTCTTACTCCCAACCATTTCTTTCTTTTTTATTTTCTTTTGAGACAGAGTCTCACTCTGTTTCCCAGGCTGGAATGCAATGGCACGATCTTGGCTCACTGCAATCTCTGTCTTCTGAGTTCAGGCGATTCTCCTGCCTCAGCCTCCCAAGTAACTGGGACTACAGGTGTGAGCCACCACGCCTGGCTAATTTTTGTATTTTTAGTAGAGATGTGGTTTCGCCATGTTGGCCAGGCTGGTCTCAAATTCCTGACCTCAGGTGATCCACCTGCCTCGGCCTCCCAAAGTGCTGGGATACAGGTGTGAGTCATCATGCCCAGCCCCAACCATTTCTTTCATTCTCAATCCAGATATTTCTTACCTCATAGTCCCTGCCTACAGCTCTCACCTGACCTTGGAGGCTGACTCTGGACATTCTGCTGATATTTTCTCCCACTATCCTGCTCAGGTGGTGGTTTAAGTGTTCCACAGCAAAAACAGCAGCAACAACAGCAACAGCAACAAGTGAGCAGTGTACACAGGATGACAAGTGTCTAAAAGGTAGGCGAGAATGGCCTCAGTCCAGCAGTTTTCTATATGACTGTTCAAGCTTCCCTCCCTCAATCCTCCTGGCACCCAGAAAATGAGACAACAGAAGCATTTGTCCTAAGAAGAGGAAGGTCACCCTTCTTTCCTTATTCTTAAAGAAGGCTGGAGAATTGTGTACCTTGAACCAACAACTATTCATAATAAAATAGTATCTGACGCCTTCTTCACCAAAGTGATCATACAGATATATTCCCAACGAGCCATGCCGGTCGTAAATTTTCCGCTTCTTAGAGTCGCTCAGTATGGCGTGAGCTGTGTTGATCTCTTTGAATATTTCTGCTGCTTGAGCATCCCCTGGATTCTTGTCGGGATGATACCGCAAGGCCAGTTTCCTACCCAGGCAATACCCAAAAGGAGGGTGGGGAAGCAATGGGAAATGTCTGGGGAAGGAGGGTTAGAATGAATGACAGGGATTAGTCTCTATAGAGTATAGAAGGAATGCATGAGATGTGGTACAAAGGATGGAGGCAAGCATCCAAGGTCTAAAGTCCTTCCCTCCTTCCCATACCATAATGAAGAGGGTGATGGCCCCATTTGGCCCCAAAGTGAAGGCTTGTTGGGCCTTAAACATGGGTCATAGGGCCGGGCGCAATGGTTCATGCCTGTGATCCCAGCACTTTGGGAGGCCGAGGCAGACAGACCACAAGGTGAGGAGTTCGAAACCAGCCTGGACAACATGGTGAAACCCCATCTCTACTAAAAATGAAAAAAATTAACCAGGGGTGGTGGCAGGTGCCTATAATCCCAGCTACCCCGGAGGCTGAGGCAGGAGAATCACTTGAACTCAGGAGGTGGAGGTTGCAGTGAGCCAAGATCACGCCACTGCACTCTCAACAGTCTCTGTCTCTGCTCTGCAACAGAGGGAGACTTCCTCTCCCCCACCTCCCCCACAAAAAAGTCGGGAAGCAAAACAGATACAGAAAGACAAAGGTTTAAGGGGGAAATTCCAAGGATTAATAAAGGGCTGAGGTCTGAACCTGTAGGACTTTTTGATGTCTTCAGGTGAGGCACCCTTCTTAAGCTCCAGCACTGCATAGAGGCCTGTCCCACTCTTGGACAGCCGACGAGCTGCTTCATTCACGTTAGACATGATCTGAGCCAGAGGAGAAGCAGCATCTGTGAGAACTCCCACAAGTAAGGGCATGGAAAAGTGGACTTCCAGTGACAGGAAACTCACTACCTTCAGGGATTAGGCAGGTAAATGATGACAGAAGGTCGAGGATAACAGTGAGTGGGATCTGAGACTAGCAGAAGAATTCAGGTGGTCAGAAAGATTCAAATTTTAAGGAGGAAACATCTTCTCACATTTCCCAGCATCCTCCAGCTACACAGACCTCCAGACAACCCACATCCTAGAGGAGCTATCAGCAAGGAAATGTCTAAGCCATGAGAAGAGTCTGATTTTGCCTAGAGCTCCTATTACCTGGAGTAGACAGCTCTGGATCTGTCCAAGCTCACTGCTGGGTTTGAAAAACCAGGACGGCCCCAGCCTGAACACACTGGATCAGGAATCGGAAAGATCCACAACTATTAAGAGAGAAACACTTCAGACCAAACCGTGTGCGGCCTAACAGAAGTCAGGTATCCAAGAGCCTGGCGGGGGTCGGGGAGTGCTTGCAGCTAGGCCCGGACTTGCTTCTTCCCTCCAGTCTCCTGCTCTCAAAGCACCCAACTTCTGTCCCTTAGGGGTGGGGCAGTGGGGAGAGGGGGAGGAGGACTCAGGCTGGAGAAGGAAGAGGAAAGGCGTTGCTGGGGGAAAGACCTGGCGAGGAACAGGCAGCAGAACCCCAGAGAGCTGGGTAGTGGCCTGCGGCCCAGGAGAACCAAGCAAGGCAAGGTGCTCAGAGGGAGAGCTCTGAGTGTACAGGGCACCTCTGGCCCTGTGCCCACTCCTCGCCTGGGTCTGGCCCTTTACCTGGGAGTCGTTCTCTTAAGCCAGGTGGGTGCCCTTCATCCTCTTGGGTGTGAAACTTCACACCGGCCGCGTCCAGGAGGTGACTGCGCTTGCGCGCTGCATCAACGCTGCGGGTCAGGGCAAGTCGTTTTTTGGCGCCCCCGGAAGTACTGGGTGGGGAGGCTACGTTGGCCCTGGGACTTATTTCGCGCACAGGGAAGCGAGAGCGTGGGGCTCAGCAGGCGCGGAGGGGCGTTGCTGCCAGGCCTCGGGGCAGGGATTCCACCCAGCCACTCACCTCCAGCAGGAGGGCACCACCCATCTTGATGGCCCAGCTCACTCCAGGAAACACAATAGGCTTGCTGACCGTGGCGGATGAGAGGTATGGCTGCTGCATGCCCTTCTCAAGAGGTGTGTTACCTTCCCAATCGTCTTCAGTACTTAGGGCTCTCCGCTCAGTCTTTCCTTCCTTTCCACCTGGAAACACCTCCCCAACCTGTAAGCCCCAACTCGTATGCCCCTGTTCCTGACCCTCCATCCTTCACTCTCCCAGTTGTTCCCACTTCGTCTGTCAAAGCGTTTCCCCTATTACATTGTAATGACGAGTTTCCATGTCTCATTAAAATGATGTCTTGAGCTTTTTCCAAAACTCACTACCATGCTTTAGAAACTTCACTTAAGGCCGGGTGCTGTGGCTCACACTTGTAATCCCAGCACTTTGGGAGGCCAAGGCAGGAGGATCACCCGAGGTCGGGAGTTTGAGGCCAGCCTGGCCAGCATGGTGAAACCCCGTCTCTACCAAAAAAAAATTATCCGGGCGTGGTGGCAGGCACCTGTAATCCCAGCTACTCAGGAAGCTGAGGCAGGAGAATTGCTTGAACCCGAGAGGCAGAGATTTCAGTGAGCCGAGATCGCACCACTGCACTCCAGCCTGGGCAACAGGGCAAGACTCCGCCTCAAAAACAAAAACAAAAACACTTCACTTAAATATGATGCCATCATGAGCGTGTCCCATAATGTAATCCAACTTGAGTGTTTCAGTTTTCTATTCGTTAGTATAATAACCTCATAATGAAAATTCAACAGAAATCCTTGAACAAATCTCTAATTTTTTCCTAAGGATAGATTCTTGGAAGTGGAATTATTGGGTCAAAATGATTTTTTTTTTTTTCACTCTTGATCTCTATTGCTAACTTTCTTCCGGAAAGGTAGCAGAAGGAGGAGTTTGTATCCCCACCTGCAGGTGTGGGAGCGTGCTTCTACCTGGCCTTCCTTCCTACAAGACGTAGTCTTTGCATCACTTATAACTTACCACTTTGTAGTGCTGGTTTTCTTTACAAGAGCACCTAGTGGCTCCTGTAACATGTAGTAGAAAAAGCTTTATTACTTGGAAAATGCTTATCTGTTAACCCTCTTGTAGCTTTTGTCACTCTCTTCATTACAGTTATTTATGCACATTTTCCTCCCCTTGTACGTTGTTTTTGTTTGTTTGTTTTTTGTTTTGTTTTGTTTTGAGATGGAGTCTTACTCTGTCACCCAGGCTGAGGTGCAGTGATGCGACCTCGGCTCACTTGCAACCTCCGCCTTCCAGGTTCAAGTGATTCTCCTGCCTCAGCCTTACAAGTAGCTGGAATTACAGGCACCCACCACCACGCCTGGCTAATTTTTTTTTATTTTTAGTAGAGGTGGGGTTTCACCATGTTGGCCCAGTTAGCTTCGAACTCCTGACCTCAGTGATCTGCCTGCCTTGGCCTCCCAAAGTGCTGGGATTACAGTCATGAGCCACTATCCAGTCCCCCTTGTAGGATTTAAATAGTAAATCAGTATTCCACCTCAAGAGCCAATCTAAGCAAACGAAGGAGTCCATGTGCAGCAGACACAATGACTGCTGAATTAATGAATTTATTTATGTAGGTCTGTGATCAGTGCAGGGACAGGGGATGAAGACCTTTGCATCACCCACCCAGTCCATAGGCTCTGGGTCAGATGAGTTTAGAGGTTACTCATCTAAAAAGAAGCTGAAGCTGATAATTTTTTGGTGGTTTGTCTCATGCCAAATTTCTCTAACTAACCCCCAACCTCTCATCACTATATTAGAAGTGCACTTACAATGAATTCCTTGCCTTAGTCTGTAACACCCAGCGTGGTCCTGCCCCTGCCTCTCATTCCAGTCTTTTCTGGAACCACTGTCCTGCTTGCTCTGGTCTCCGTGCCACCGCTTTCCTCTTTTCTTGTGAGTTATTTGAAAACATCGTGTTCCCTCCCATTTCAAGAGCCTTTGACCATGTTGTTCCCTCTGCCCGGAGGGCTTGACCTCTCATCCTTCAGGGATCTCAGCTTCAGGCCTACTCAGACAGGCCTTCTAAACTGGGTTCTACTCCTCTCTGCTCACCTCATAACATCCTGCAAAGTACATATATGTATATATGTGTATGTGTGTGTATATATATATGTGTGTGTGTGTGTGTGTGTGTGTGTGTGTTTATATATATATAGAGAGAGAGAGAAAGAGAGAGAGAGAGAGAAAGAGAGAGAAGATCTCAGTCTGGAGTGCAGTGACACAATCACAGCTCAGCCGCCTCAGCTTCCTGGGCTCAAGCCATCCTCCCACCTCAGCCTCCCAAGAAGCTGGACTAAAGGCATGTACCACCATGCCCAGCTAATTTTTGTATTTTTGGTAGAGACAGTGTTTCATCATGTTGCCCAGGCTGGTCTTGAACTCCTGAGCTCAAGCAATCTGCACGCCTCAGCCTCCCAAAGTTCTGGGATTACAGGTGAGAGCCACTATGCCTGGCTGATGAACATATATATTTTTTTTAAAAAAGAGCTTCACTTTTACCCAAGCTGGAGTGCAATGGCATGATCTCAGCTCATTGCAACCTCCATATCCTGGGTTCGAGCGATTCTCCTGCCTCAGCCTCCTGAGTAGCTGGGATTACGGGTGCCCACCACCACGCCCAGCTAATTTTTTAAAAATTTTAGTAGAGACGGGGTTTCATCATGTTGACCAGGCTGGTCTCCAACTCCTGACCTCAGGTGCTCCACCCACCTCAGCCTCCCAAAGTGCTGAGATTATAGGCATGAACCACCATGCCCAGCCTGGTGAACATATATTTATTTGTATATTGATTTAGAAGCTGCCTTCCCCAGATGACAGCTCCATGAGGGCAGGGACCTTGTTTGTTTGCTGACCACTGTATCCTCAGCACCTAGAGCCATGCCTGACTCACATAAGTGAATGAATGATTTGTTGAATGAGCTATAGCTGCCAATCCAGTGTAACCTGGAGGTTGGACCCAGAATTCCCTGGGACAGAAGCACTTAGCTAGGGAATTATAGTCTTGTCTACAAGACTTACAGGGAGCAGTTAGCTAGGGAATTGTAGTCTTGTAGACAAGACTACAGGGCCTATCTTCCCTCATATGGTCCTAGACAAGGAGAGACCACAATACAGAAAGAAGGCAAGAGGGGAGATAACAATGTGATTTGGAACTCCCTGTTTCTTGTTTGTCTTAGTATTGCCTCCAGTTCCTAACACACTTCCTGTGTTCAATGAATGCTGGTTGGTTGAATGAACAAGCAAGAGTGTGTGAGGCTTTTCCGGGACACTCTTACCTATCTCCTTTGATCCCCACAACAACCTGAGAGGCAATCGCATTCCTGCTTCATAGAAGAAGTGAGCCCTGAGAAAGAAGGCAAATTTGGTTCTGAGAAGAGTTAGTAAACACCTTTTGCATCTTGCCAGAGGCTGCAGAATGTTTCCACTTTTTATCATTGCCCTCTGACATTCTAATTAATCACAGTTCAGGGCTCTTGAAATAGCTATTATCTGTAAGTCTTGTGAGGCTCTGTTCTGAATAGAATGTCACTTCATCCAGGAAGCTGCAGAGATGGGAGTAGCACAGGCCAGTCAGCCTGGCACCCTTTGGCCAGTGGCTCTCCACTTTGCCTTTACCTAGAAATTAGAGCCTCTTTGAGTGTTCTGCACTTCAGGTCTCTTCTCACACCCAGCACAGTCCAAGGAAGAACGTACAAGCCAGCGGTCAGAAGCTCTAGATCTTAGCTCTGGCTGTGGCTCTCAGAGGCTGTGTGATCTTGGACAGATCAGTTCATCTCTGAGTCTATTTTTCCTCTTCTGTAAAAACCTTTGCCATTTCTCAGGGTTGATGTCAAGACTTAATTGGGGGCCTGGGTGCGGTGGCTCACGCCTGTAATCCCAGCACTTTGGAAGGCCGAGGCATGTGGATCACCTGAGATCAGGAGTTCAAGACCACCCTGGCCAACATGGTGAAACCCTGCCTCTATAAAAATACAAAAAAATACAAAAAAAAAAAAAAAAAAAAAAAAAAAGCCAGGCATGATGGCAAGTGCCTATAATCTTAGCTACTCCAGAGGCTGAGGTAGAAGAACCACTTGAACCCGGGAGGTGGAGGTTGCAGTGAGCCAAGATCATGCCATTGCAATACAGCCTGGGTGACACAGCAAGACTCCATCTCAAAAAAAAAAAAAAAAAAAGACTTAATTGGATTTGGTTTTAAAAAATATGAAAAAAAACCCCACAAATTTCTATGCCAAAGAATGATTACAGACTGAAACCATTTCTTGGATCATTTGTCCTCCCATCATACCTTGAGTCAGTGATCTTAGCGCGTACTACCGCCCAGAGCCATTTGGTCTCTCATGGAGAAAACCAAGAAGCATCCCTTGTTTACCTATAAACAACTAAAGTTTTAGTCATATATCTGGAATACACACACATACAGACAGCAGACATTGGCATATTTATACCCAAAATACCACGCTCTGGAACATATGCAGTGGGAGAGAGAGAGATCATAATTTGTCACATTCAACCACCAGGTTCTCGAATTGTACAGTTTTTGGGCTAGAAGGGACCTCAGAGATTTAACTCTAATCCAATGCCTTCATTTTATGCGTGAAGAAAGTGCAGCCCAGAAAGATGGATTGACCTGCTTAAGGTTATCCAGTGAGATCTGACCCGAGTTTTCTGACTCCAGGTTCAGTATCTATACCGAGACTCCTTCTTCCTACTTTAAAATCCAAGTGTATAGACAGACCAGAGCTGTGGGGGATATTCACATCCTCTCCTGGGTGATGTCAGGTAATGTCCCTTCTTCCCCTCCCCCAGCAGAAGGCATGTATACTACATGTGACCAAACCC